GAAGTGCAACATGCACAAATTCAATGATGCTTACCACAAACAAATTACCAAGAAAAGTAAACACGTGCTCACAAGACATGCTCACAAAACATCAACTGCTGTATAGACGCCTATAGTTAAAGGGACACTATAGTCACCTGAACAACTTCGGCTTAATGAGGCTGTTCAGGTGAGAACTATAGCTCCCTGCAGCCTTTCTCATGTAAACACTGTATTTTCTGAGAAAATACAGTGTTTACATTGAAAGCTAGGAACACCTCCAGTTGCAGTCACTCAGAGTGAACCAGATGGACCTCCATCCACTCAGATCTGCTGTCAGCAGAGCACAGGGCATCACTGTGCACAGCATCCTGTGATTCAGTATCTCCTCCCTCTGCATGCAGACACTGAACTTTTCCTCATAGAGATTCATTGATTCAATTCATCTCTATGAGGAGATGCTGATTGGCCAGGGCTGTGTTTGAATCGTGCTGGCTCTGCCCCTGATCTGCCTCTTTGTCAGTCTCAGCCAATCCTATGGGGAAGCACTATGATTGGAACAGGCTTTAAGTGTACAGATGCCTATAATTAATGGCTGGTGCTAAAAATGTCAAATACCATGTCATGTAATCCAGTATTTACTGTATATCCAAAATATAATATAAATGTGTGTTAGATATGTTTTATTTTACAACTAGTCTTATCAGTATGTTGTTTGTGTACATGGAGAAATTGAGACTATAGCAGCATTCCCTAAATTCCTGTGAAGAGAATGCTGCTCGCGGTTGAAGTACTTTCTTAAAGACACAATGCGGATGTCATGTCACTTCCGGCTCAGATAGGTCCATGTCAGTTTGGCTTCCCCATTCACACACATTTTGGACCAATAAAATCACACATAATGCTATTTAAACTTCTTTGGCCCCATTTACTGTGCCCTATTGTGGTTTATGTTCTCAGTACCCTTTAGTGTGTGCCTTGTTACATTGTTGTATTTCTGGCATTGACCGTGGCATTGTTCCTGACCCTGAGTTTCTCTTTATCCCTTGTCTACGAGGTTTAGTGGTCTTACCGTGTACCCGACTCCAGCTAGTTCCTATTTTCGCTGTCTCTCTGTTATCCTGACCTAGACTTGTATTTGACTACATTTGCTCTCTATTATATGTCAAACCCGGCACTCTAAGGACCAGTAATACATGTATTTCAGTCCAGTTTGTTATTGCTATCCTAGACTCTGCGTGTTTGGGTTACACCTCATGCCACTCAGATCTTTCATTCCAAATTCATGGTCATTAATGAGGATTGCCCTCCACCCTTTCTGTTTATTCTGCTAACTCCAGTTTTCTGGAAAAGTTTTTCACTAGTTGTTAAAAAAGTTACTAGGGGCAACTAGTTGGTGGTCCATTTCAATACAAAGATGTTCAATAAGAGATCTGGGCTCTATGCAGGCTATTCAAGTTCTTTCGTTATGATCTCAACCTACCATTTCTATATAAACATTGTTTCCTGAAGGTATTTCCACAAACATGGAAGCACTGTGTAACAAAGCATATTGTATACTAAAGTGTCTACGTATCTCATTGGCTTAATGAAATACATAGCCTACGAAAGCATTAAATGGACATTAAATAAAAAAAGTTTAAAAGCAAGGCTACGAGCTCCATTTTAATGAGGAAATAGGCGGGCGCGAGCAGCGAGCAATCAGACGCTTCCATTCGGAAGCGTCATTGCTCCCTTGTGCGCATGCGTGGCTTTGCCGCACATGCGTACATAATTTATAGGGTGGCATTCATGCCGCCCTATGAAGTCCTGCGTGCACTACTGCGCATGCGCGCGGTGCAAGCTGACTGACAGCTCAGCTCGCGATCTTTGCCCGCCCCCTCTCCTCTGCTGACAGGTAGGAAAGAGAAGGCGCACACACAGTGCCTTCTCTCTCCTGCACACGTCAGACGTATTTTAATACGTCTGACGTGTACATGGCCTTTTTAGGGCCATACATGATAGGAAGTCCCTCTGGTGGACGTCTGAGTGACGGCCACTGGAGGTATTCCTATCAATCAATGTAAACACTGTATTTTCTCTGAAAATACAGTGTTTACATTAGATTGTCTGCAGGGAGCTATAGCTCTCACCTGAACAACTACATTAAGCTGTAGTTGTTCAGGTGACTATAGTGTCCCTTTAAGTCATGAAGTCAAAAACCAGCTCTTGAAACTTAACTGTTGTTAGGCCAGTATCTCTTCCAGAATCAGTTTGTAATTCAGAAGTGACTGATGCAGTCATGTGACCACAACGTGGTTCTAGGCTTGCTTGGTCAGTAACTAGTCCATTCTGCCTTTCTGCTGCATTATGGGAAATTAAATCCAAATACACTAAGCCAGGGGATCTCATAGTTAAAATGCAGCATACATACATTATAGAATCCAAGGCTTTAATGCCTTAAGACCCAACAGTGCCTCAGTGCATCTCTTAGAACTCAAACATGTATCTATCTTCCTGCCTAGGTCCCTAAGGCAACAGAATTCACATGTATTTTTATATATTATGTTCTATCAGTTTCCAGCTACCCCCTCCACCCAGGCAAATATTACATTTTATGTAATTGCTGAATACAATAGACAAGCGGCCTTGTAAAACAGTACAGACGTTTATTGTGTCTGCATTATTCTGTACCAGAGACAGTAGCGCACCGAACTGCTATGTCTATATAAATCGAATGCACTGTGGATGGCGTTTCACTCCTCCATAAGCTATTCAGGAAAAAGTTTTGATTATCCATTGTTTTCTTTGCCATATATTTATTTCACCACATGCTGCACAAGTATTGTTACAATAAGCTACACAAACATTTGAAATGAAACAGTTTTATATCAGCTCATTCCAAACACATGAATCTTCCGCTGCCATTTTGTAAAGGGAAAGCATAAGTCGTTCTTTCATATTATATATATTCAAGCACCTCCTACTGATTAAAAGAAATGCCCTAATCAGGACGGATGGAAAGTTCATTTTTTATTTGCGCTGCGCCTTTTAACGGACTTCAGAAGCCCATGGCAGGGCAGACCAAATATGTGAATTTTGGATGATTAAGAAGTGTGTCTATTATTACGTCATCACACCTATTGCACTATGCATAAAAGTTACATCTTTGGAAAAAATTGGCAGATCCTTCGTGATCACATCTTAACTTGGGGTGTTTATACAAAAAAAAAGAAACAATCTCAAAAGTCACAATTCCACATTAATGTGGAATTGACTTTAAATTTCACTGAATTTCAGCATTAACTATTTCTTAATTTGATGTGGTAATCTAGGATGTTGGCCAGGGCCGTCTTTAACGCGGGGCAAACGGGGCAGCTGCCCCGGGCCCAGTTACTCCTGGGGGGCCCAAAGCAGCTGCCCCGTGGCCCCACCGCCCATCAGGTGCTTGTATTGCGGCTGCCCATACTCTAAGGAGGCTCACCGGGGGCCAATACATTTAGGGCCACCCGGTGAGCACGTTACAGCAGGGGCCCGGTCGGGTGCTGTGGCCCTTTAACAGCACGACCGGGCCCTCTGATTTACGGCAGCATGGGAGGAAGTGACGTCGGTGAGTCACTTCCTCCCTCTGAGATCATGAGCCGCGCAGGAGGAAGACTGAGCCAGGAGGCAACTCCCAACCACCCCAACCAGCACACTGGACCCCAGGGAAGGTAGGAAACTAGAGGGGGCTTTACAGTTTGCATATTATGTCAGTATGTGTGTGTTTATGTCGGTCAGTAGGTCTGTGTGTTTATGTCGGTCAGTAGGTCTGTGTGTGTGAGTATGACTGTGTGTGTGTCTGTCAGTAGGTCTGTGTCTGTGTGTGTGAGTATGACTGTGTGTGTGTCTGTCAGTAGGTCTGTGTGTGTGAGTATGACTGTGTGTGTGTCTGTCAGTAGGTCTGTGTGTGTGAGTATGACTGTGTGTGTGTCTGTCAGTAGGTCTGTGTGTGTGAGTATGACTGTGTGTGTGTCTGTCAGTAGGTCTGTGTCTGTGTGTGTGAGTATGACTGTGTGTGTGTCTGTCAGTAGGTCTGTGTGTGTGAGTATGACTGTGTGTGTGTCTGTCAGTAGGTCTGTAGTGAGCACCGGTCATTCATTGGATGTAGTGTTGGTGTTTGCGTTACCATTTTTTTTTTCTTTGCCCAATGTACAATTTTGACCACCAGCTCATAATGATGGATTTTGGCAATATTTTGCCCAGGAGAGATGGTAAACCGTAAAAGGTACAGGGGAGGTTTATGTGCAGAAAGGAGCAGAGTGTATAAGGAACAATATGGAGATATATGTACAGAAATAATGCTTGTAATAGACACTAAAAGTAACAAGCAAAAATAAATTAAAAGAAAAATGCAGATAAAGAAACATGCATTTAGTGCAGAAAGCAATGAAGAATGTATTCACTAATAGTGAACTGTAGTGAACTCTAAACAGAATTGCAAGTTTTGGGCAAAAGTAGCAGAACTGGGGGGAAAAAACAACAAAATAGCAATTTTTATAATGTCCTATTTAGTAAAAGAAAAATAAAAAAAAAATTTCTGAAAAAAATGTTAGTAGGTAATATGAGTATTTAAAAAAAAAAATGTTTTGGGACAATCTTTACTTTAGTTTTTAGCAGGAAAAGAGAAATAAAATGGGCCATGAGAGCCATTTGTACATTGATACATGGTATGGTATGGCTTTACAGTTTGCATATTATGTCAGTATGTGTGTGTTTATGTCTGTCAGTAGGTCTGTGTGTGCGAGTATGATTGTGTGTGTGTGTCTGTCAGTAGGTCTGTGTGTGTGTCTGTCAGTAGGTCTGTGTGTGTGAGTATGACTGTGTGTGTGTGTCTGTCAGTAGGTCTTTGTGTGTGAGTATGACTGGGTGTGTGTGTCTGTCAGTAGGTCTGTGTGTGTGTGTGTGTGTCTGTCACTATGTCTGTGTGTGTGTGTCTGTCAGTAGGTCTGTTAGTATGTCTGTGTGTGTGTGCCTGTCAGTAGGTCTGTGTGTGTGTGTGTGTCTGTCAGTAGGTCCATGTGTATCAGTATGTCTGTGTGTCAGTGTGTTTGGGTGTCAGTATGCCTGTGTGTGTCAGTATGTCTGTGTGTGTGTGCCTGTCAGTAGGTGTGTGTGTGTGTGTGTGTGTGTGTGTGTGTCTGTCAGTAGGTCCATGTGTGTCAGTATGTCTGTGTCAGTGTGTTTGGGTGTCAGTATGCCTGTGTGTGTCAGTATGTCTGTGTGTGTGTGTGCCACTATGTCTGTCTGGGTGTGTGGTAGTATGTGTCTGTGTGTGCCAGTATGTCTGTCAGTGTATGTGTCAGTGTCCATATGTCAGTATGTATGTGTCAGTATGTCTGTCAGTTTATGTGTCTGTGTAAGTATGTCTGTCAGTTTGTATACATATAATCTGTGTGTGTATATGTGCATACATCTCAGCATTCACACACTAACACTACATACAAATACACCCCTGCATTCAAACTCCAACACTAGGTACAAACACATGTCTGTGTTACACACCAAAATTATATGTTAACACACCCTTGCATTCAAAAACCAACACTACACATAAATACATGCTTGCAATCACGCCAACACCACATACAAACTTATTTTACAAAAAAACCTGTTTACATTCAAACACACAAAAACAGCGTTGTGCTAAATACAAACCTTCAAACATGGGTAAATGGTAGAGCCACAGCTGTCAATGCATTGCTGAAGTTGCACGACAGATGGGGAACTACCTTCTAATCACCCGTGCGATAGGGAGGCACAAAAAAATTCTTGCACCTCTCTACTTTAGGTCTGCCTCTTCGTTGGGGTGGAGGACATGATTGCACACCTGGCGAGGGTACCAGGGGGCCCAAGCAAATGCTTTGCCCAGGGTCCAATCAATATTAAAGACGGCCCTGGGGACTGCAATGTTGTGTGACCGAGTTTCACTGTCTGGAAGACCGCCACTGGAGGGGAGTTTATCTCTCCTGCAAAACAGCAATATTTTACCTTGCATGGTCAAAATGACAGGACCACGGCACGTGGTTATAATAACGTTTTAGGAATTAGTTTTATTTATAGAGGTT